GCGAAGAATGAGAGAAGAGTTAAGTTTGTCTGTAGTTTCATTCATGTCTTCATCTACGTCATGTATTAAATGCTTCATTTTATCTCCATTAAAAATGCAAGTCAGAAATATTCAGAACATAGCACCGAGTCTAACTGACAAGAGTATAAAGATATACTATGAACATGTTATGATGAAACCAACCAAAATTCAAGAAAGTCAGTATACTTATGAATATCCAAGACACTGGGTAGAGTATGTAGGAGGTGAGAAAGTATTGAAATAAGACAGGTTCGAAGTATTCCAGCAGGAAGAACAATATTATTGAAGAACTTAATGTTTTGAGGTATAATGATGAAACAAAGAAGCAAGATAGTTTCCCTGTTGCTGTGTATTGTGAACCTAGACACAGGAGATGACATGAAAGTTTTTAATACAAAGCTTCAAACGTAGTGAGAGAACAACTGACTGCGGAAGGGCATCCATTACCTTCAGAAGTTACCATAGCATATAATTTTGAAACAAACTCAATAGATTTTAAAATCGCCTCTGCAAAGAAGTCAGGTTTTACATTTAATGAAGCAGATGTATATTCGAATGAAAACTTCAAAGCTATTGCATGGTTAGATAATGACGATTGCTTAAGAAAATATTTAAATACAGTGACTCAACGATGTCAATAGATGACCTTCGTGGAATGTTACCATCGACGTTTACAGTAGAAGGTTCAGCAGGATTGCTTACAAGATTGTCAATTGGTGGTATTTGGTCTCTGAGAACATTGTTATAAAATCCAGTATAAGTGAATTTGCTGAAGAATCTATATTATGTCTTTCAAACTACATGTATTCGCCGCCGAAGCATTATAGTATAACAAACTTTGTCAGTAAGTTTAACATAAGACTTGTCGAACTTCTTCAATGAAAGATGTTGTGCTACCTAAAAGTGGAAAGGATGGACTCATTATTGAAATGATTTTAATAGCATATTAAATGAGCTTGTTCTTGAAGGTCATTCATGATGAAATAACTGTTGTAGAAGATGTTAGCAATTGTTCAGACATTTTATTGAGAATAGATGAGATAAGAAATAAGTTAGATAGACCGCAAAGCGGTGAGGGCGAAGCCTGTGAGAACGCTTATGTTTCATTGACTTTCTCCAGTAACGAGAACTTTTATGAGATAATATTGAAGAGAGATGATTTTAATATGGTGTAAATGGTAGCTTGGGCAGCTTTAGGCGCAATGGGAACAAAAGCATTAGCATTTGGAGCAAAAGCACTTGGAGCTTATGATGCAGTAAATAAAATGAGTGGAGGAAGGGTTTCGAAGACATTAGATGCAAATAAAGGGAAGATTGGAGGCTGGGTTGCAAAGAAGTTAAGATTAAATAAAATAGGGCTCATAAATAAAGCATCCAATTTGGTTGCGACTGAGTCAGAAAATGCTTTAGGAAAGGACGATGAGTTTGCAAAACACGCAAAAGACTTTAATGACCAGATGAAAGGTGAAACAATGCATTTAAATAGAGTCGATGGAACTAAAGAAAATGTTTCTTCTCCACCAGTAGTTCTTCCGTATGGTCCCTATGGAATGTATGGAAACCCTTACGAAAGACCATTTGACCCATTGACTGGTGGAAGTAACTGGTATCATTACGGACGAAGAAGAAAGACAGTCAAGTTGGAGACAGACGTGAAGAAAGCAACTAAAAAGAAACCAAGGAAGAGAGTTATAAAGTAATGAATTCAAGTGGGTGAAAAAACAGGTGAAAAAAGAGGTGAGATCTCACCTCTTCACCTAAATTTATTTTTGTGCTATGTTTTCATACGTGTGAGGGTGGTGATATCATTAATTTTTAAGTTTATTTTTAAATAATTTTTATTTTATTTTTATATAAATGACGAAAACTATTGAGATAACAAACTACAACGGTCATGAGTTCAAGAATTTGTTCTTCGTTCCTCGTGAAAATACATTCTATCAGATACGAGGGAGAAAGGGTAAAGTTAGTTTGAGCGTTTATGACTACAAGCATAATGGAAAGTTTATACAAGCATACGATACAAACGGTAAACGTGTTTCATTAGCTTTGTCAAAACTTACTAACATTTATTTTGACAGTGATTTTGACCTATATGAAGAAGAAAGTGAGTCAGAAGATTATGAGCTGTTATGTGAAGCACAGCAATGTGAGGAGTTGCAATACTTTTGTAAGTGAGAACGTTTATTTTTACATTAGTGAAGTCGTTTGTGAAAACGTTAGTGAAGTGAAGTGGTTGGCGGCTTTGTAAATATTTAATGTTAAGTTAGTGTTGTCGTTTGTGTTGTAAAATATACGTTAATGGTTTTGTAAAGTGTCAAATTCACATATAATGTGTAAGGAGGCGCGCAGTGCCTCAGTACACGACTTATGTATACTAACTATACTATCCCAGTCAATATACTCTGCTTTTTTCAAAACCTCTCTGACAGTATTTTTCTTATCTAATGGTATACGTTCCATCTTACCTATAGGTATCTTTTCTTTCAACTCACTCAATATTTTGTTTGTGTCTGGTATATGTTTGAGACGGTTCATATAGTTGTCGAAGTCATTGCATATAATCTTTGAGTCAGGAAATATTGTATGGCACAAATGAGATATATAGAAACTTCCACCGAACAAATCTACAAATGTTAGACCATTCGGTAGTTTCTTAAGTTCTCTCAATAGAATATCTTTACATCTACTCTTATTTCCAAAGAAGGGTAACGGTGGTTTTGTAAAATTCATTTTATATACAATAAAAATGTTTTTACCCTGAAAAGCTACAGAAAAGTGACAAAACATGAAAACTACTCGGTAAGTCTTGTCGGTTTTGTAAAATAACCATCCTATCTTGTTAAGACTTCCTGGACTGTTGTCAAAATGTCATGTTGGCACACTTTTTCAGAGAAGTTCATTTGACCGAGTGACCGAGTGACCGAGTGACCTGGTGACGTAGCGACGATAGACCCTTACTTGTCCGGACATAGTTCTACTATTTTGAGTCCTCTACCGAAAAGTCAACAGCAACGACTTTCAAAAATTTTTAGGGCTAGAAGGCACGAAGTGCCTGGAAGACCCCACACACCCAAAAAAAACCTCATTTTATACTTCATTGCATACTAAACATCTTCAAGGGGGTAGAGGGGCGCAGCCCTGGAACCCCCAATACCTTTTTTTTTTTTTTTTTTTTTTTTTAATAGTTGTTTATAAATTATATTATATTATTACTTAATATTATTTTGATAATAAAGATTTTATTTTGCAATAATATAAACGAAATTTTTTACCTTATGAACTTTTGATGGAAATATGCAAATTTAAAATAATAAAGAAAGCCGCGAGCGAAGCGATCGGCTTAGTTCGAAGATTTTGATTCAAATCTTTGCTGATCTGTAATTCGCGGAAGCCGCGAGCGAATCGAGCGGCTTAGGTCTAAGATTTTGATTCAAATCTTTGCTTATATTCCTTAAATTCTTTATGAAACTCGCAACAGTTCCATAAAAAATTTTAAATTCTAAACTGTCGAAATTACCGATCGGTAATCACACCCTTCACGGGTGTGTCATTTTTTACAGGTGTGTCTCGTTCAATGTTGGCATTTCTCTGATAACATGAAAAATTACATGGCCGTTTTAAATATATCTATACATTTACATAACAAAAAATATTTCTATAATTTCAGTTCGTATTCGCATGGTGGATAAAAATCAATTAATTGTTGGAAATATTGAGCCATGCAATTGTTGAAACAGTATGATGCTCCTTTTGATTTATGTTTAAGAAGGTAGTTCACTTGCTCTGAACATTCGCCTCTGAATGTAGTATAATAATCACGGTGTGTTTTTACTAATCTTCCTGTAGCATATGCATGGTAAAGGAAAAGTGATTGGAATTGTACCATTCCGCATTTCCTGAATTGGATGTCTTTCATATGGGATATGTTGTACTCTTGAAAAATTTCTTCAAAAATCTCTTTTGACAAAGGTATTGCAACATGAGAATAGCCAAATCTTGGATTTTTGGTCTTGTTCCGTTTGCTTTTGACTAGGTTCCACGCTTCTATTATGGATTTGTGGAATACCATGATATTATCATCATCATCTGTGCAAGTTGCATCAGGACCATACATATCGTATACATCGCCTTTAAAACGTAATATTCTAAACTTTAATTTGTTTTTCGTAAAGTAATACGATTTATCGATAGGTTTTGTCCAGAAAAAGTCGTCATCAGCAAGTATGAATTTGTTCGCAAGATTTGGAATCTTATTTAACGTGAATTGTATCGAGTTGCTACTGAATGAAGTTTTTCCTTCTCCGTAGAGTTGACTATGTGAAATAATGCTAATCTTTGGATGAGATAGGTTAAGCCAAAATGGATACTGATCATTTGTAACTATATAAATCTTATTGATCCATGATATGAACTGATAAACAGTTCGAAGAGATAATAAAAGTTCGTTTTTCTCAACATAGCGTCGATAGTAGTTAGTATCAGAGTAATTAACTCCAGTAATGTTCTTTGCAAGGTGATATTTCTTGATCCGGTTAGGATCTGATCCATTCACCCACAAATATACTAAATCTACAGATTCACTCACTGATAGATGTAATGAATATCTTGATAGTATTTCATTGATTATATAAAGAGCGATCAATGCATAAACAATGTAAATCAGATTATTCAGCTTTCTTCTCCTCATATTAACCAACTGAGAAAATTAAAACATATTTGTTTTCGTATCACATAGAATAGCTTTATACACAATAGCAATTCAAAAATACTAATCGCTCGATAATCGCCGAAAAAAATGAACTAAAAAGAATAAAACTTTGCTCATTTATGCATACTCTCGTATGAGAACTTATTTTTAATGAGATTGTATTCCCGATTGCAAAATCAAAATTGAAATGATTACAATAATTGTTATACTCTTTACATTTAGTTTTTATTTATTATGTCAGAAGTTAACCTTCAGATTCTTCAAGACTATAGTGATGAAGAAGCATTTCTCCAGGAGCTCCAAAATGCCCAAGATTTTCTTCAACCGAACCAAGCAAAGCCATTCTTCAAGATCGTTTTACAACATTTTGAAGAAATGGTTCCTTTAGAAATCGGACAGAAAATACTATCAACATTGGCTCATGTGCTATGCGTTAAAAAGAATATGAGCTATTTCGCTGCTGGTGATTTTGCGTTATTACTTCCATTCCGTCAAAAGAATCTTACTAATGATGTTTTAGACGTCTTATACACTGTAATTACACGTTGCCCAGAAGCTGTCACAGAAGATCTTGCTAATCTCTTTGCAAAACTTATTATTCGCAATCCAAAGAAAACGTTAGTTTTAATTTCTGTTTATACTCAATTCTTTGACGAACTTGAGAATCCTTACCCTCTCATTGATATGCTTTTCAATGGAGAACAGTATTTCCTTAAAGAAGCAACAGCTTTAGATTATCTTAACTTATTAATGTATCTCACACGCGAATTTCCATCATTCCGTGATGGCAGATCAAACGAAGTCTACCAAATTGCTTTGAAAGGCCTTAAATCAGAAAATGAAGAAGTTGTTGAAATTTCATTCAACTGCCTTGCCACAGTAGCTGCATATCTTGAAGATATTAAAATACCTACAAAGGAAATTCGCCAATACATCTCTAACAAGGCTGTCAGAATGAGTGTTTTGAATTATCTTGCAGTTTGCCCACCATTTGAAGAATCTAATCCTAAATTTATCAAGTCAATACTTAAAATAGCCCAGGATGAAGTCCTTGCTACATTAGTTCTCATGAAACTCTGTTCCCAATCTGTCGAAGTTGGATCTATTCTTACTGAAGATTCCAGATGGATGAATGCTGATCTCCCAACACCAGAAGACACATTCAGACTATTCCTTGTCGTTTTCGGACACAAGGAATTAAGAAATAAATTATCTCGCACACCAGAGTTCGTTCCGTTCCTCCAATCCCTCGTGGACCTTCACAATGTTCCAATGCTCAATGCAATCTGCACTATTTTGAGACGTGTTAAGGTCACAAGAGATCTTATTAAGAGAATGTCTGATGCAAGGCTTATTTCTTCATACCTCGAGACTTCTGATGAAATTGGCACGGTGGAGGCGAGGTACGAATCAATTCTTTTCTGCGATACAATGTCAAAAATCGCTTATACAAAAGAATTCGTTCCAATGTGCGAAGCACTCGTTGAAACTGTCGAAAACGAAGATGAAAACTTCGGCTACGCTGTTGCTTTGGCTACAGATTTCTGCGAACACGAGAGATGCCTTAACAAACTTAAGAAATGCGGTATGGTCAACGTTTTGAAGAATTCGCAGTACGCTTCAAAGAAGAGAGTCAAAGAACTCATTCAACTGCTTACCCAGTAAAAATTATTATTTTTATTTAAAAATTTTTATGACTATTTAACAGAAACAAAAGAGTTTACGCATATGCTTATTGATAGCAACGCATTTTAATTCTGGTAAAAACTTGTAATAAATTTGAAAATGCTTCAAGATTCATTTACTCTGGTTAACTAGCTGAAACAAGCAATTTATTCAATTGTGGAACATAAAAATCTGTTTCTTATGTATATTTTGCCTATTTTTTGCATTAATCTAGTGCAATTTCAAAGTGAAAATGCATTTTTAGGACTGTCGAGTTTCATTTCTATCATTTAAAGATGTTTAAAAGCGGACCATCTATTCATGATCATTTTTGAATCAAAAGAAATTTTATAAATCTCTCAAAACATATTTTTATCCAAAATTCCCATATAATTTGTTTGCTCTATACTATGAACAATTCATTGATATACTAATTTAGCTTAAATATTTGAGATGTTTTTATGTGTCAGAAAATAAGCAACTTTACATGTCAAAATCCCTGATGCAAGTAACTGAGTGGATCCAGCCATTAAAGGAGCAATGCATCAAGATTGATCTTATCAACAAGGAGACATATGAAAAGCTTGTTAACGATATTGCTGCTTTAATTGGCTATCAGTACAAGCTTTCCAACTATATGTTAGGATTTTTAAACACATTAAAGTCAAAGATACCAGCAAACTACACAGCCCATTATAATCCAGAATGCTTGGATTTTCCCACTCTTACTGATCATTCAAGGCTTGTTTATAACATCGCAAATAACTTTGTTGACACAATCCTCAGTATTCTCGATTATTATGGTCATCAACAGTTTGCACAAGAGATTATTGAGTTCCACAATCTGTTTTTAGAGAAAATTAAGATCCGAAACGCTTTTCTTTCAGAACATCCAACAATTCTTCCTCCTTATACTAAAACACTCGACTTAAACTTTCACATAGCCCAAACAATCCCATATGGACACAATAACGACCTCACATCCTATCTCGGAAGCTTGATAAAAATTATAGATAACAAACTTTCATCAGATTTCGACAAGAAATACTATCCAACCATCGAATCGATCTCCCACATCTACCAGAACATCGACAATGGCTCATTATTGCCACAACTCGAGCAAATCTGCTCAGATCTTGATAAAACACGTCTAGAACTACTCAAAGAGAAATCTTCACTTGAACGCGGTGTTCAATCCACAGAAGACTTCCTTTCCAACCTCCCAATTGAAGCTATCCGCGAGAATCGACAGTATTCAGACTATATCAAGTCGACAAACAAGATTTTACCGCAAATACGAGCGAATATGAACGATCTATTGTATTCATATTCCTCCATTCCCGATATTTTCAAGCGCTTACATCTTTTGTTCAGAGAATCAGTTCCAACTAATTATGTCGACCAAAATGAGATGGAAGAACTTCGATCCAAGTACATCAAGTTCTGCAGCGAGTTGAAGAAGCTCCGTCTTTTCCTTCGCATTGTTAAAGACTCTAACATCAAACAATATTCACCAAATCAAGCACAATTGTTTATCTCTCAAGAAAAAGATTTTTTGAGTAATATCAAGAAACTTCTTGAAGAAAACAATTTCCAAGAGATTGGTCCATTGATTGACAACTCATTGTCATCATTTGCACATTACACGGATTCAGTTCCAGACGAAACAGAACAGTTTGTTAAAGAAACAAGTGAATTTGATGTTCAAACACAAAGATGGGCGAACAATCGACCACAAATTGATCCACAGATCGAATACCAAGTTAAGAACCTTCGTGACCAACTTGACTCTATGCAGAAACAGACTGACCAGATAATTAATTCATCAAATGTCTCAATTTCTCAGGCGATTCAGTCTATTTCTGATTTGATGACTTATTTGAGATTCAGTACTCCGATCAAAGAAAGTGAGTTGCAAGAGTTTTCTAATGAACTTGACAGAGAAGCAGGGAATGCATGGGCTCGTCGTCGTCTTGAATCAAAGAGAGAACAGATAGAAAGGAAGAAGAAGATTCTAGAACAAAAGAAAAGAGAATTGGAACAACAGAATAATCGAATTTCTTCAATGCAGAAAGAAATCGAAAACTATAAGTCTGAGAAGGAAAAGAATCCAAATTATTCTGCTATTCCACGTGAAGAAGTTCAGGACGCAAAAGACAGAGCTCTTTGTCCTCTTTGCGAACAGAGAAATCCAAGAAACTGTCTCCTGAAAGAGTGCGGACATACATTCTGTCTCGCATGTATCCAGGCACAGATAAAGAGCAGAAACAGAGCTTGCCCTAGCTGCAACAAGAAATTTGCAGAATCTTATGTTAAAGAAATACAATGGGAATAAAAATATATATATAAATTTTTTTTAAAAATTATATTTTGGGGATATTATTATTGTCGTCTGACGGTTTTAGATTTTTAGCCAGATAAAGACCTACTCCGTATATCATGCGTGTTTGCACACTATATACATAGATGGAATTGATGTTCTTCCTTTATTTAGGTACCAAAACATGCTTGTAAAATCTATTTTTTAGACGACAATGAAAATTTTGTCACTTTTCCAGAAAACAATAAAACATCATCAAATAAATTCCCTTGGTAATTCAAAAATACCATAACATGATAGTAAGCCCATCTCCCTTACTATGTTATTCATGGGGATTTGTTATTAATTCCGAGTAAATTGAGGGAAAAAGTATAAGAAAACTTTTTTTTCCACAATTCAATTTTTTTTTCCACAATTCAATATCAGATACCGTAGCTTAAGGACCTCATTTGATGAAATAATAGTTGTGATTTCTAAAATTTATAATACGACTTTTCCCTGAAAATTTTTATGTAAAGTCAAGAGCTTTGTTTTGTAATTTCCCACTCAATTTGAAGTTGCTAATTTAAATACAAAATTTAATAATAAGATATGAGCGGTTTGGTCGTTTGCACTCATTTCAATTTTTACATGGATAAGATTGATAGATACAATGAATTGAGAAGTAAGTATAAATATCATATCGATTCATATAATACATTGTATCAGTTAAACACTGAAGATGATGAAGGATTAAGCACTATTTACAAAATTATACAAACAAATTTGATTGATTCAATGAAATATCACCCAGAGAATATTATAAAAGATATCTTAGACATCATTCCATATAACAATTGTTATGAAATGTCATATTTGAAACTTGCGAAACTCATCACTGATGAATATCAAGTAAAAGAAGTCAAAAACTTGCCAGATATTTCGAATCACCTGTTTTATAAAGAATATGGAATCAATTTAAGTGGATCTAATGATTTTGATGAATTTAATTCAGAAAATATTGATATTTATTCAGAAAATACAATTTACAATGCAATTATGAAAAATGATTTAAAAAGATTTATAATTTTCACGGAAAGAGATGAATTTGACGAAGATCAAAGATTACAAAGCAAATTATTTCCACAATCTAGCAATGGCTATTCATTGCTTGAATTATGCTGTTACTACGGAGCAGCTGATTGTTTCAAGCTATTAAGAACAAAATTTAACTCAGAAATAACTGAAACATGCTTAGAATTTTCATTTTTAGGAAAAAATCCAGAAATCATGAGTGAATGTTTGAAATATCAAAAACCAAATCAAGAATGCATGAAATATACAATTATTTCACACAAAATCGATTTTGTTACATTTTTAATGAATGAATACGATATAAGGATTGATTTACGTCAATGTGGAGGTTATAATAATCTTGAATCACTTTTAGTTTATTTCGATAAAACAGCTCTACATTATCTTATTGGATATTGCTTTATATATTCTGCATGTTTCAATATTCCATCACTTTGTGAATATTTCATTTCACTCGGTACAAATATCATTGTTAAAGATGGAAGAGAAGCTCTTTATAATGCAGTAAAATACAATAATAAAGAAGTTGTCGAGTGTCTTCTTTCACATGGTGCGAATTTCTATAAACGCCAAAAGCATCAGACACCTATTCTTTATTATGCAATAATTACGAATAAAAATAAAGAAATGGCTGAACTTCTTATTTCACATGGTGCAAATATTGATGAAAGAGATAATGACGGAGAAACAATCTTTGATATTGCATTTAAAGAATTCGAAAAAAATAGATATATAGTTGAACTTCTTATTTCACTTGGTGCACATTTCAATCCTAATTTTTACCTCATTAATGCAGCATCTTCCAATAATCTAGAAAAAATTAAATTTCTGGCTTCATATAATATAGATCTAAATGCAAAAAATTTACGCGGAGAAACCAGTCTACACATAGCCTTTCAAAATTATTTTAAAGAAATTACCGAATTCTTTATTTCACATGGTGCAAATATCAACGAGAAAAATCAATATGGAGAAACTGTTCTTCATATTGCATCAGACAAAAATAATAAAGAAATGCTTGAATATCTTATTACGCATGGCTCAGATGTCAATGCAAAGGATAGAGATTTCAAGACAGCTCTACATCATTCAACATATTTTAAAAATAATATATTGCTGAACTTCTTGTTTTGCATGGTTCAGATATTAATGCAAAAGATAAAGATGGGAAAACAGCTCTTCATTATGCAGTGCATTATTCTAATAAAGAAGTGGCCGAGTTTCTTCTTTCACATGGTGCAAGCATTAACGAAAAAGATGGGAAAGGAAAAACTTCTCTTCATCTTGCAGCATTTAAAAATGATAAAGATTTAATTGAACTTCTCCTTTCACATGGTGCAAATATCAGTGAAAAGGATGATAATGGAAACACAGTTCTTCATGATGCAACAATTCTTTCACATGGGGCAAATATCAATGAAAAGAATAAAAAAGGAGAAACAGCACTTTATATTGCTATATCAAATAGCAACAAAGAAGCACACAAACTCCTTCTTTCACATGGTGCAAGTGTCAATGAAGAGAATACAAACGGAGAAACCCTCCTACATATTGCAATATTGAAAAATAATATAGAAATTATTGACACTCTTTTATCAAATGGTTTAGATGTCAATGCGAAAGACGAAAAAGGAGAAACTACTCTTCATAACGCAACTTATCGCAATAATAAAGAAATAGTTGGACTTCTCCTTTCACATAATGCCAAGATTGATGAAAAAAATAACAATGGAGAAACAGCCCTTCATATTGCAGCATTGCATGATTTTGAAGAAATAGTCGAGCTTCTTCTTTTACATGGTGCAAATATTAATGAAAAAGATGGAAGTGGAGATACTGCGCTTGATCGTGCGACATGTTATAAAAATGAAGGAATTGTTAAACTCCTTATTTCGCATGGCGCTATAATAAATTGAAGAAACTTTACTAATAGATTTAATGAATAAACATTATTAATTAAATTTTATATTTTTGATAAATGTGAAAAACTTGATATAAATTAGCATATCATATCATACCAAGTAAAGCATTCAAAATAAATTTTGTTATAGTGAAGTCTTATAAGGAAAAGGATCATTCCATATTGGAATTCTGTATTAGAAGCAAAAATATTTTGAGTTTAGATGATTGTGAATATCAGATTAATATTGATAGCTCCATAATTGCAATATAATGATAATTTTCTCTCATATCAACCATTTCTGATTATGGTGAAATCAAAAAAATATGATATTTTTTAAATGTTCTTGTATTCATTTAAATACCCAGCAATTTGGGCATTTAATTTGTTGTAAACTTCTTGGACTTCCCATCCTTTAAGTAAACGAGACTTAAGTGATTGTTTCTTATTATGGTGATGACGTTCTGTAATTCTTGTCATAGCATAGACGCAGGCAGAAGTAAGTGCTTCGCGAACATTTACTTGGTAGGTATTACCCGTTTTAACAACCTTAATTACTGCTCCGTAGAGATCTGTAGATCTTGAACCTCTCATGAATAAAATTGCTCTTTGATTATTTCTACCGTAATCAATTTTATTAAATAATTGCTTTGCGCTTTGAGCAAATTTGACTCTTCTGAAAAACATGTCAAGTCTGTCTCTATCGATGTGAAATTCATTAGAGATAGTATCAATAAGAGAGCCAAGATCAGCAGTGTTGTAATCTGCACCTTTTGTTAGAGTCTCGATTGGTTTAAATTTATAAGCGAGATCTTCCTCGGAGTAGCTATTTGAAACTGCTTCCGGACTTACTTGCTCTAAAGCATTTGTATTGAAATAGCTTTCGACAAAAGCCAAGTATAGGAACATTTAAATTTGAAAAAGAAAATTTCGTGGTTCTCAACTTTGTCAATTGACATGTCAAAAATTCAGATTTGAACTCAAAATGTATGACATTAGTGTGCATTTCTCAGTGCTTAATTATTTCGTCATAACGTTTATGTTCAAAAATTGAAAAGATTTTTTTCATTTTCTGATCGTTTATCCACCGCATTAGAAGGTATCATCCACCACTGATAAGTCTAAAGTGAAAGTGCGTACTTGAGAAATTGTCCAGATATATGCATGAAAACGATGATGAACTTTGATTGACGTAAATCTAATTAAATAATGTAATTTTTCAAAAAAAATTAATATGTTTCTAACTAAGTTCATGCCAAAAATGAAATCTAATAAGGATTAGAACTCATTTGATGGAATTATTTCCTCATAGGAAGATCTCTTCAAATTTTCAAGAAGATATGATATACTTCATTATCACTGGACGATACCTTATGAATTCGCTCAATATATAATGATTAAATCCTGATTTTCAAAATTTATCAAATATCAAAATGCTGAATTGCTATATCATTTATCATGAAAATCTATTGGTAATCACTTAAGTATTTAAAATGTAACTGAAGTAGCATTGTGACCTTTTTTTTTCTTGGAGCGAGATTTTGAAAGACAAATTTTTTTTCTCCTAAGATTTTGATATGAGTAATAGAGGAACTTCACTGGATTTTGTATTTAGCAATCTTTTAAGTGGTACAGACAGTGGTTCTACTATTGAATTTCTTCCTACAGGTGATAAATTGCTGATTCCTCAAGGCAACAGGTTGGTTATATTCGATTGTGCAAGAGGAGAAAGCAAGACACATTACATTGAACATCCAGCGACTATCACACATGTAGCTGTTTCAGATAAAGATGATTATATCGCTACATCAGATGCAAAAAACAATCTTTTTATTTCTCAACTTGGATCAAACACTCTATGCTACAGAAAACTATTCAAAGAAGAAATTACAGCTATTGCATTCGGTCCAGGCAAAACTGGACTGATTGTTGGCTCACAAAATAAAGTTAGATTCTTCAAACATCCTTCAGAAGTAAATTCGCTTAAACCATTTATTAAAAAACGTCCACCAATTGGTGATCACCACTTTGCATCTATCAATACCATAGCTTTTTCACCAGATGGAAAATTAATCGCTACATGCTCATCAGATCTCTCTGTTCATATCATGATGACAGAGCCAAATGAGAATTTTGCTCCGATTTCATTAACAGGACATCGTGGAAAGCCACTTTTTGCATACTTTGATAAAGAAAATCCAAAACAAATTACAACATGCGGCGGTGATGGTACACTCTTCGTTTGGGAGCTTGATGATGAGTTTAACATCAAAATTATTAGCCGTCGTCGTCTTGATGAAGAAGATTTCGATAAACCAAAGACAAAATACCAAACGCTTTTAGTTGGCGCTTACAACGGTGATGTAATCATTACTGATGATGGTAATGGTACGTTTAAGACTTACGCAGTACCTTCTCTTACAATGCCTGTTTTATCTACATTTACTGTCAGATTTTCTACAGAAAAAGTCCAAGCTCTTGCCATTTCCAAGCGATTTGCAGCCTTTACATCAGCCAAATTGGGCGAATTAATCGTCTGGGACCTTCAAACAGGAAGTGTTGCTCAAAGATCTCAAGGACACTACGGCGGTGTCTCATGTTTCGCATATTCTCCAAACGGTATCGTCATTGCTACAGGTGGAGATGACGGAAAGCTCAAATTATGGGATTCTTACTCTGGATCTTGTTTGATGACATTTGATGAGCACAGAGCACCGATCACTGATGTTGCCTTTGGAGAGAGTGGTCGAACAGTTGTCACATGCTCTTTGGATGGGACTTGTAAAGCCTTCGACGTCGTTCGCGGAAAATGTTTCAGAGAAATGACAACAGATGTACCTTCAGAGTTCACACATGTTGCTATCAATCCGAAATGCGAGATAGTGGCCGCAAGTACTAAGTCCAACGCTACAATTATTTTATGGGATATCTCAACTGGCAAAGTTCTTGAAGAACTGACCGGCCACACACAGCCAATTTCATCCCTATGCTTCACGCCACTCAGCCAATTGGTCTCTGGTTCATGGGATGGAACAAGTCGAATTTGGGACTTCTTGGAGACACAAACAAGCCAACCATACGATGCACATGGCGAAGTAACTGCTGTGGCTATCTCTCCTGATGGCAAAACCCTTGCAATGGCAAACTCCAGTGGAAGATTAATTTTTTACTCAACACACGATGAATCATTCCTTGGAGAAATCAATGTAACAGAGGATGCAAGAGGTGGAAAGCTTATTGATGGCCAGAGATCAGCTAAAAATACAAGGTGGTTCTTCGATAGTATCGATTTCTCACCAGATGGCTCTTTCCTTGTTTGCGGTGGTCGTACAAAATTTGTTTGTGTCTATTCCGTCTCGAATTTAGTTCTAATGAGGAGATTTGCCCATACAAAGAATACAGAATATTCCGGAGTCGAAGGATACGTCCAGAAATACCATGGAAGTGGCAAAGCTGAAGAAGTCATCAAAGCGCAATTCGCAGAGAAGCCAGTTATTACAGCAGCTGCAAATGAAGTCAGATGGTGTCCAACAGGAAGAGGAATAAGCGCTGCTACTCCTGAAGGTTTGTTAGTTTATGTCTCGGCCGATCAAGTCATAACAGACCCAATTGAACTAGAAACAGATGTAACTCCAGATAATGTCAGAGAAGCGATCAAGAAAGGCGAATACGTCTTGGCTGTGACATTAGGAGTTAGATTAGGCCACACAGAAAGAGATTTGTTAAAGGAATCAATGTTATCTGTTCCTGATGACCAAATTGATTTCGTTTCAAATCATTTACCACTTAAATATGTCCCAGACTTCCTTCAATTCCTTTCTGAACAATTAAGAGAGTCCCAGGACGTTGAATTGCTCATCAAATGGATGAAATCAGTTTTGAGATTCCATTCAAAGAGATTGTCGCAAGAGAGCAGTGCTCCACAGACAGCACATTTAATACAGAAGGCATTCGCAGGGAGAATCGATCCTGTTAAAGTCGTCGCAAGGCAAAACCTCGACACATTGACTTTCCTCTGCTCACAGCCAGAACCAGAAATAGAGTAAAAGAGATTATTTTTATTAAATATCATATTTATATGGATTTTAAAGATAATTTTGAGATATGAAAAAAGGTATATTTAAAATTGATCATGAATCTCAAATTTACTTCGTTGGAACATGGACTCAATATTACACAAGGTAATAAATGACACCCAAGCTTTAAACAATTGACTTCAAGTGAAAAATTTAAAAACATATTAATAGTGAGATAAATTCTTAGGGTTTAAAACTTGGGTAATGGCTTAATGAAGTAATTCAATTTAATTCACGTTAGTATATTGTGAATTTATCCTGATTCGAAAATAAAAAATCTTCCCAGGTGTAATAAATATAGAATGAGTATATGAAAGATAACTTTTGCATGCAATTATTGATATTGGTAATTGTAAGCATTTGTTTGTAGTTGATTATAAAAAAAAATAATTCAAAAATTAATAATTGATAGAAAGAACATATAAACATTTATAATAGACAAAATAAAACAAACATAATCAAGTGACAATAAAGTCTTGGTTATTAACAAAATGAGAGAAATAGATATCTGTATAAAAACCGGAATTATTATTCATGTTTGATAATTTCCTCCTGATACAGATGTACAAGAAGACTCCGAGGAGAATAACAAAAATAATTGAAAGTAAAATCACCGAAATTCCATAAGGAGAACGAGAATAAGCGGCAATCCTTGAGTCATATGATTTATTGAAGTGGCACTCACATAAAATAGTATTTGGAGCAGTAGGAATTTCTGAAATTATTTGAACTGTAATTGGCTCTTTATAAATTGATAGAAATTGTCCATCAACTTCACAATTTGTTATCTGTGTGTTCAAATTCTTAATACAAAAAGAAGAAAATTGATTCAGATATAATGAAGATGAAAAAAGTGATAACATGTAATTTAAAGGGCATGTTATGAGGTATTTGGCAGAGTTATTATAAAATCTTGCCATTGTAATGGATACACTTCCATAAGTTGCGCCAAGAATTGAATATTTTGAATTTCCGTTTGATTCGATATTTGAATAAGCGAGAAAGTTTATATTGCTTGCATAAAACTCAATAACTGGAACATTCCCTTTATTTTGGTTCTTTGAAAAATTTGAATTATAATTTTTTGGAATGAAGTTATTGAAAAGAGTTGTTCGCGCGCAGCCAATTGATTTTGAATTTTCTGGTGCACTGCATTGTGTAATTGAATTTCCGTAGAACTTAAGAACGTAAGTATTTGTCCAAAAACTTTGGAAATTTCCTTGGGTTGAGCAATGTAATAGGCAGTTAGAATTGAATTCAATCATTTCAGTTGTAGAGAATATAGCGCCCGCATCTTTAACAGACGAGCAATTGAAAAAGGTTGAAGTTAAAATTGTCAGATTTACGATTTTTTCGGCAGATATGGCACCACCACTATTATATGTATTCATACAATTTTCAAAAAATGAGGCTTGAACAAATATATTTCGTTCTTGACTGAAATTCAGCGTCGAATGGAAGTATTTGCTAATAAATGTTGTTTGTGTCGATTTTTGTGAAGAGTTATTCTTTTCTTGGGTAAGATTTGCTTTTAAATTTGTATTATATAAAACAGAAAAGTTGAAATAATATTCAAACTTTGGCTCTAGTAGATCTGTTTGATGTAGTATTCTACATTTTGCCAGGTTCCACCCCACAAATGTTGAACTTGCTCGTAGCAAATAAGCTAAATTCAACATGTGAAAACGTATTTATCTCAATTTTTTCACCCACCTCAACAAATCACTCAAAAATTGAAATTGTAATATATTAGTAATTCTAAACATACATAAAATTCTAAAGTGCGGACGGTTTGGCACTTTTGGGATCTGTCGTCATTTTTTGGAAAAATATTGGTATTTATGCAAATAATATAAAAATATGCGTTTTGATCTTTATTGACCATTGTCACTTTTGGCATTTACGAGATCTCAAACTTTGCTTAGGGAAAAAAATCTTTTTTTAGGGGGAGGAAAAAAATTAATAGTATGGATGAAAATGAAAAATCTGAAGCAAATATTATTGATATCATTCGAATAACTTTCGATCCTAGTAGTTCAGATCAGGATGTACATAATGCAGAAAAAATTCTTTTAAATTTCATCAATGATTTTAATTTCTTCAAACAATTAACACAAATTGCCATTGAAAACCAATCTAATTTCAGTCTTTCACGATCTTGTATCTTATACATTATTTCAATGATCAAATATTCTAAAAATTTATTCGTTATAAATGATATTTACGAAAATATTATTGGAATATTTAATGATTCGCCAGATTACTTACCAATATTACAAAAATTATCAGATACATTTGTAATTAATGCAGATAAGCAATTGATTTTAGAAAAATTAGTAGAATTAGATGAAAATCTCTCAATTGTTTGCCTTTATTTTTCGTATTCGTTTTCTCAAATGTTTTCTGATTGTTTAAAGTGTCCATACTTAGAAGATTTTGTTAATCAAATTCTTCCAAAAATTATTTCTTTATACGATAACAATAACTATACAATTCAATATCTTTGTCACTCTGTATTTGAAAGATGCCTTTTCGAAAAGGATATTTCAGTTTTTTCTCAAAATAATTTCTTTCAATTAGTTGAATTATCAAGAAGTATTGATATTGATGCCAATTCCCCTTTTAAGAATGAAATTGTGTATTTAAAAATGTCGATGCTTTCATCCATTTTGCAAATTTTCCCAGAATTTCAAATTAATTTTGAAGAATTTAAAAATTATTTCATTAATAATGTAGATGAACAGTCGATATGTACTCTATACTATCCGATATATACATGTTTAGATCAATTCGAGCTCAGACATTTAATTTCTATTGATTTTTTTCAAAAATTTCTTAATGAAGTTTTTATTCCATTTTTAGACAATTTTATTTTAAAAATTGATGAAAATTTCTATGGTTATTCATTGATATTTAGAAGCGAAGACATTTATAAGAATAACTGGTGTGATCCTATAGATTCATCAGCATCTTTAGCAAGAGTTTCATTTAAAGCTTTTGATTCTCAACAAATTTTTGAAATTATAGAAAATATTATTTTATCTAATGAAAATGGTAATGATAGAATCTCAATACTTGCAATGTGGTATTTATCTAATGGATTGGAAATCGTTAGTCCAGAAATGATTGATTTGTTTGTGAATTTATCTTATCAATTTTTAAATTCAGAAAATTTGATTTATCACATTGCAAGTTTCTTATTTTTAGCAGCTGCTGATTATGAACATAACTGTGATGTTGTAAAACAAACTTTTTTGGAAAGTTTTGATTTATCATTTCCGGAAGAAATTAGAAGCTTCGCAATTGTAGCATTACCACAAGTAGTTCAGAAACTTGATAATGATTCCAAATCTTTGATTTCATCTAATTTTGATTTACTTGAAATTTTTTCAATTTTAATTCAAAATTTTCTTGAAAGAGAAACTGATAATTCGCTAACAGAATGCAAGAATTTTATCAAAGCATTCCCAGAAATAATGACTTTAGATAATTTTTCACAAATTTTTGAAGAATTTTTGAAAATTTTCGAATATGGATTACAAAATGATAAAAGCAATATATCAATGTTATCTGCTTCAATTATTGCATTTGTTATACAAAGTTTAGAACCAAATCCTGATTTTCATAAAGAAATTTTAGGATATTTAGAAAATATAATGGAAAATTATTCTGAAACTGATAAATTCGAGCATTCAATTGCTATTGCAGAAGCATTGTTCAAAAATCCTGTTGAAGAACTCATTGATGATTATTTTTCAATATTAATGAAATTTATTGAGATTTCTCAGTATGAAAATTCAAAGATTGTTTTCTCAGAGTTATCACAAATGATAATTTACTTTATTTATGATTCAAAACCGAATTCTTTGAAATATCAAGAATTAATTTCAAAAGCAACCGAAATATTTAAGTCTGATGTTGATGATTTATGTTTGTTATCTGTGGGAACAGAGATTATTGCATCATTCATGCTGAATTTGGATCAAGAATTTTTTAATATTATATCTGTTGAAAATATAACTGAAATTCTTAGTTATTTGATAGATATTTCAGAAATTGATTCATGTCCGCTTCTAATTGCAGCTGTCATGCTTAAAATCCCAGAAATTTTTAGTTCAGAATTAAGAAATGATTTAGTTGAGATTTGGACGAAAGGTCAAATTGACATTGTCCCATTTTTGCATATTTCAACTGTTTTATTTAGTCATTTTACTGATTCAGAAAAATTAGAAATTATTTCGACTGCTGAAGAACTTATTAGTTTAGATGAAGACGAATGTTGTGATTTTGAAGGAGAAAACTTTCTCAGATGGCCATGGTTTAATTTTGATAAATCTGAGACAATCAAGCAGTTTAAAGAAATATATGGTATCGAATAGCCTTATATTAATTTGCTTTAATATATATTATGTGTTATTTATGTGTTTTGTTTTTATTTATAAAGTGTATAGAATAATTATTTGAAAAATGTTTCTAATATCGCTTAATTTCTATCATCATTTGGTTATGGATTCTTAACTTATAAACTAATTGGTTTCAAGACATTTTCATTTCAAATAAAAAAAAATAAAGAAAATATTTGCATCATTTACTATATACAAAACATGTATCGAATGTGTTACGCGTAATGTTACAAATGTCTAACTTATGAAGTTCTTTTCTTCATTTAAAGAGCCAAGATGGCTAGGAGATATCACGAAAGACTGCTTTGAAAACGAATTTAATAAACATTAAATATAAGTCAACAATTTGTACTAATTTCTGAACATTTTTCTCATTGTACCCAGAATTCTATCATCATAATTATAGTAACGATAATTTTTGATGAAGAATTTGAGAAAGAAAAAAAATTAAACGTCCAGTTGAATGGATTCCCATGAAATTCGTGAGGAAAATAGAGTCCTTCGACTTCGTTTAACTGACGCAGAAGAAAAGCTTCGTCTTTTAGCAGATGCTCTTGAAAAAAGAAATGAACAAGCACGCGTTTGGACTCAAAGATGTAATGATCTTGAAGATCAATTAAGAATTGCTCAAGATGCTATTGATCAACAAGAAAGTGAAATCCTAAAGAAGGAAAGTATTATCGAAAAATTACGTCAAATGTTAGAACAAATGAAAAAAGATCAAATATTACAGCAAAATTTCCAATCTGACGAAGCTAAGAAGCTCCAAAATGATATTGAGCAACAGCACAAAAAGTTTTTGGAAACTCTTAATCAATTAAATCAAGCTAAAGGTCCAGCTAAAACTTCATTTGAATTACAGAATGAATTAATAGCTAAAAAAGAGAAGCAATTAGAAGATTTAAAGAAACAATTACAAGATGCATTAGAAGCAAAGGAAGCTGCTGATCAATCACTCGAAGATTCAGAAGCTCAATGTGAAAAGCTTTCTCATGAAAGAGATACATTTCTTCGTTTGAATGAGGAGCTTATGGAAGCCCTTCGGGAAGCAAAAAGCGGAAAGGCTGAACTCGCCGAAATTGAAAAGTTAAAAGCTCAAATTGACAAAGAATACCAAAAAGTATTAGCTTTACATAGGCAAAGAAAGCAGTTAAAGAATGTCATTTTGCAGCTGAAACAAGCTTTGGAAGGAAAAGAAGCCCAAATTCAAGATCTTTTAAATGAACAAAGAGGGTATCAAGAAAAAGCTTTAGAATCTGATGGTAGGATTCGTGAGTTAAATAAGAAGATAGATGATTTGAAAGGCGCAATTTCTAAAATCAGATCTGAAGAAAGAGCTTACAAAGAGCGTGCAGAAGCTGCTGAAAAGAAAGCAGATGATCTTCAAAAGAATGTTAGGACTTTAATTGATGAAAAGCAAAAACTCGCAGAAGATCGAAATATCAGAGCTCAAAAACAAATTATTAAACAGAAAAACGGAAAGATAGATGCTGGAAACATCAAAGAGTTGCAATTGAGAGTTCGTCAAGAGATGGAAAAGAGATTAGATGCTCAAGAAGAAGCAGCAAACTTGAAAGATGAATTAATGGAAATTAAACGCCAAAATGCATTACTTCAAGAACAAGCAAATGATGCAATAGGTGCAGATTTACAGCCATTGATCGAATTGCTTAAAGACCTTAGAGTTGAAGCAGTTGCTGTTGATCAAGATCTGTTGAATCTCATTGATGAAATTCCTCCTGCCAAAGAATTAGTTTTTCCTGAAATTCCACCAGGAATCTGCGAATCAGCTGCCACATTAATATCAAATGTTGCAATGCAATTCCAAGATTCACAAATAGAGAATAGAGAATTGAGACTATTAGTCAACAAATTCGCTAGAACAGCTTCTATTTATCATAGAATTTCTACTGTAATTGCAAAGTATCCAATTTTATCAGCTGATGATATTGCAACTCAGGAAGATAGAGGTAATTGGGTATTACCAATAGAAACTGAGCATTTGCAGAGAACAATTGTTAAATTGCATGAACTTCTTGTTAGAAGAGGGAGATCAGATAATTAAACTTGTTCAGGAATAAATTGTTATATGTTATTGTTCTTAGAAATATTTGTATGTATTTCACATAATGTTAATTCTTCAATCTAAGTTTAATTCATAAAATTCAAAATAAAAAATTAAAAGTAGGGATAAAAAAAATTAAAAGTTAGCCACATTTCATAAATTATAGTGTTCTGAATGATTGTATTTGCTCTAATGGACGGACCTGTAAGAGGAATTTCAAGATCTTTGAATGCATTTAGCTGTGCTATCGCTCTTTGATTGTCATCTGTTTGGAAGTAATGTTCTAAATATTTGCGATAAAAGACAGACGAATATTGACTTTTGTCATTTGGGGCGGAATGATCATGTTCTTCAACTATTTTGATTAGTTTGTATTTATTTTGATCCAAGATTGCAACATTAAAATGTGCAGGACATTTTGGATATTTGCAGTGGAATGAAATCTGAGATCTTTCTTTCCTGACACGTTCACCATATCCATACTGTGCTTGTATTTCTTGTTTAACTCCAAATTTACAAAGATCCATAACAGTAAAGATAGTTTCTTCTTCTAATTCCATTTGAAATTGAAATGAAAATTAAAAATTCAGAAATTTGAATAGATTTGGTCTGTAATTAAATGAGAATAGCAGTTTGTTCGTCATTGTTTGAGGCAAGAGTATTATAGGAATATTATATGATGGATTTGAGTTGCATATAAAGAGTGCAAAAGGATAAAGAGAGAGTATTATAGGAATAATGTTAGATTAAATTATTAAATTTTAATTCTTTATTTTTTAGGATTGTTAGCTTTGTAAGATTGCTTTCTCACAAGAGAAAACAAGTATAAGGTTGAAGCTGTATGTATTAAAGTTATAAATATTTGATTTTAAAAAAAATCAAGATTTTAAACTTTAAAGGTATTAATTATGATTATCTTTCTTTAGCTTTGCATGCTGTATGCTACTTTTGGAAACTGCTCTATTGTATTAGAATGTTTTTAAATTTTGCACCTAAAAATGCGTAATATTAAAAATTAAGGTATTAATTATGATTATCTTTCTTTAGGTTTGCATGCTGTATGCTACTTTTGTCTTTGAGACATTCCATGATTTAAGTTAAGAAGCTAAATTCTGAAGTTTACATGATCCTCTCGTGTGCACCCTTAAAAAAATGCAAATAATTGAATACTTTACTGGCCGGGCAAATTTGTCGCCGCCCCGCTAAGTAATCCATTATCCAAAAAATTGACAATTTTTTGAGAAAGGTTGAACAAACATAGCGAAATCGAGTTGTTATTCAAACTAGGATATAAATATTGGATTTTTATATGTCACGTTTCAATAGCTTTTGAATTGGATTTTTTTCGATACCGGAAAATGATGCAATCTCAAATAATCAATGCGTTTATTTTAACAATTGATCTGATTCAGATCACATGATCATCTTCATCATATTACATCATCATTTTAAGGAGTGGCCCCACATGATCGTAAAAATAAATATGTAACAATTTTCGATAACTTTAAAATCATTTTTTTTATTATGATTTGCAAATAAATAAAAAACATTCTTATATGGTTTACCAAATTGTGAGGATGCTATTTTCCATAATATTTTTGCATTAATAGTTTTGTTAATAACCCGAAGTCCTCATTTTAATTTTTTACACAAATATTGGATAACACAAATAATCGCAAGTATTTTGGTAAGATTATAGATTATGTAGACCTTTTAATGTTTACTAAAGAAATAATGATAATGGGAAGCCTATTAACTTCTGAAATACGTTTTTTGATAATTGCAAATTCTGCTTGGCAAATATCAGTTGAAAGATGAGTCAAATTGTTAGTAAATAGTTTTCTTGTATTTTTAGGTACTACATTTCTAAGAAATGTTGATGAAATCGAATTGTCAATGTAACAACTATCAACTGTTAATTGATCATTACCATCGTTATATATCAAATATGAACCTTGAGGAACAGTGTTGTTAATAAAAGAACAACTTTTTACAGTAAGAGAATTATCTGAATGGTAAATAATAATTCCAAAATCTGATGTTGCTATGGTATTATTTATAATATTACATGAATCAATCAAAGAGTTATTCCAAATACTTAGAATCATATTACTTGTTGCTAAATTATTAACAACAGTTGTATAGTTATATTTTGTTGTGTAATTAACATTAGGACTTTTTAAAAAACCAGCAGGTCCCAAAGATGCTTTGCATGATGAGAAATTTGTTGATGAAACTATGATGTTATCACGTTCTGCCCAAATAGAACAACCAACACTTTTTTTTCCTACATCGAAAAGGGAACTTTCAATAATAAAGTTTAAGTTATCTTTGTCAACTAAAGTATATGAAAAATGTGCTCCACTTTGGCTTTGGCATTTTGTACAACAGAATTTTCGTTGAACAATAGAACTATTACTACCAATTTTGAAGTAAATGCAACTTCCACTTGATGTTGAAGTGCATTTACTAAAAGAACAACGATTATGTAGGAATAAAGTGTTGGTAATTGAGCTAAAGTAGATAACTCGGTCGTTATCATCAAAAAAATTGCACTCATCTAAGTAATATTGACCTTTACCTGCTGAAAGATTACAATTTTGGCAATGTTTGGTTGGATCTTCTGTAAATTGACTTTTGAAGTAACTATTCCAAATATTGTCATCCTCTAAAGATAGAATTATGGTGAACATTTTATTAATTTGTCAAAAAATGCCATCCTATCGTTTTTTTAGAATTTGAAAAAAAAATGCACTCATCTAAGTAATATTGACCATTTAAGGATACTGGATTGCAGTTTTGGCATGATTTGATTTCTTGGCCTGTAAATTGAATGTTATAGTATTTGCTCCATGGGTCGTCATCTTCAGATGACTTCCCAGCAAATTCATGCAAATTGACAAAAAAACAGTTTCTAATTCCTTAGACTACTTCCTTCCATATAATAAGAGATTGCATATTCATTTTTTGGAGTTTGCAATGAGTATATTCGAGAGTTCTTTCAAATTTTACATTATTTTAAATCAAGATGTTTATTGTATAAATTTAAATTTATACAAAAGGTTTATTTATAATATTTAAGCATGTACATCTAATTTATATATAATAATATATGGTTGTATATTCAAAGCTTCTTGTTCAGCGATTGATGACACAGATTCATCATCGAAATAAACAAAACCAGTTTTATCATGATAAACACTTGTATAATGTCCACTTTCCATTGTTCCATAGTGAGTAACGAATCCAAACAAGCTATATTTCTCATCAATTCCATATTTATCAAGAGAAATTTCAAGAGGTAGTTCCACTTTTATGTTATTTTTGATGAAACCATTATTTCCAAATCTAAACCTTGCCAAATGAAGAATTAAGAACTGTGGAGTTGTCGCAATATGTGGAATAATAGCACATCTTGTTGTATTTCCACATGTATCACATTTCCAGTCATCACCTGATGATGATTCACTGAAATATGAATCCAAAACTTCTCCTAATGTTGTTGATGCTCCATAAGGAACACAAAGAGAAATAGCTGTCGTGCGTTGATATATATGAGTCACAGAATTGCATGTTTCACAGCGCATCTCACTATCTAATATAAAACTGACACTTTTGTCAATAGTCGTCGTGTCAATTTTCTTTACATTTTCGATATCATTTCCAGACAAATCTTTTGCGTTTCCGCCCATTTCATCGCGTAATGAATCAAAGAATAGAGTGAAGAACTCGTATGCATCTTGCTGCTCCGTCACAGATAAGAAAGGAAGCCTTGCAAGAAGGGCAGAAACGAATTGGCCAGGTTTAATCGCGTGACCAGAATTTTTAAGATCTGTTGACAAATATTTAAAGGCTTGAGCGAGAGGAGCCTTTGAACCATTGACCTCGTCTGGGAGAAGAGGTAGTCTGCTTTAGTAATTGCAACGAGGAATTCATCCAACATGAGTTTCCGAGGTTATGTAGGCCTCTAGCCATTAATCCGGATTTAAGTGGTGCTGCAGAGACGACTGGCTTCGTTTCTGGCTGTTCAATGTTAAGTAATTCGGCTAGTAATGTTCCTTTTTCGATTGGTATGTATCTGTTGCATTTTGTACAATAAATTGTTTGATCATTAATTGATAATGCAAGAACATGCTTGTCTTCCATATGCTCTGCAAAGTGCTTTTCATCTAATGCTTGACCACAAACTAAGCAAAGTGATAGATTAGTCGGGTTATACCAATTAACTAATGGATGTATACTTTTGAGATTTTTAATTTCATTTTTAGATAGTGGGTTCTTCGAGGATAATGCTTTCATGCAAGTTTTATTGTTGAAAAAGTTTCTAACTCTTTCTTCATTAATAAATTTAAATTCTTTGCAGGAACTAATGTATCCAGAGTTTTTATTTCCTTTCTGCTGTTCTTTCTGATCTTTCTTTCCTTTCTGCTTTCCTTGATTTTGTTTGTCATGCCCCTTTTGTTTACCTTTTCCTTTGCCCATTCTTGAAAATGTGAATTTTTCCAACCATTTTGGAAATTAGATATTGGAAAAGATTTAACTCAAAATTTTCTTCAATTAAAATCATGGGTTATTCAGATTTTAATTTTCTAAATTTTTAGGCAACATGAGCTCATATTGTTTTGTATAAAGTAAAAAATCAATAGATAACTTTAATATGAAATCAAAACAGTACTATTTTATTACATAAAGGAAAATTTATACTAACAGCAGGCTTTTTCTTGTTGTGGAGCAGCTTGATTTGTGCTTTCAAGAGTAGAAGACTTAGGAGGTTGCGGCATCGATACTAATTGCTGCTCTTGATAGAATTTCAAACCGATTTTTGCTGCATGCAAAAATGCTTCATCGACATTGTAGCCTGTAAGTGCAGACATATAAAAGCAATCTGCTCCTATAGAGTTTTTATATTCTATTAGATCATTTTCTTGTGGATATGTTTCCACTTCATCTTTTCTATCGTATTTATTAGCCAAAATTACAATAGGAATACCTATTGGTCCTTGGGATCGAAGTTCCTTTACCCAAAACTTAACCATTTCGAAAGTACTACTTGAAGTAAGATCAAATACTATTAATGCCACATGAGCATATCGATAATAAATGGGACAAATGCTACGAAACTTCTCTTGACCAGCAGTATCCCATACACAAAAATCGAAATTGACATTATCTATAGTTAAATCTGTTTTTAAGCAAACAGCTGAAATTGTTGCTGCAGAATTAGGATCCCATTTCTTTAAATGATACCTATTATGAAGCGAAGTCTTTCCCACTCTTGAATCGCCAAGCATGACAGCTTTGACCTGTAATTTTGACGTCGCTAAGTAATCCATTATCCAAAAAATTGACAATTTTTTGAGAAAGGTTGAATAAACATAGCGAAATCGAGTTGTTATTCAAACTAGGATATAAATATTGGATTTTTATATGTCACGTTTCAATAGCTTTTGAATTGGATTTTTTTGATACCGGAAAATGATGCAATCTCAAATAATCAATGCGTTTATTTTAACAATTGATCTGATTCAGATCACATGATTATCTTCATCATATTACATCATCATTTTAAGGAGTGGCCCCACATGATCGTAAAAATTAGTTCTTTATGATGCAAAAACTCAAGAGAAATGCGTCTTTATTTCCACAGTTCATATACGAACATCAAGTACTAGCGTTAAAACCCATTAGGTCGGTGATTATCAATTGCGAACTTAAATCTAGAATAGTTTTAACTAACAGGATAGTGAGCGTTTTTGCGTTATTGAATACCATTGCCAATCGAAGACTATTTGTATTCGGCTAAAGATTTGACTAAGAACAACTTGCTCACCCTACTTGGAACAACATATTAAACTTTAGGCGAAGCACTAATATATTTTAATGTATTATCCCTGAGATTTATCAACAGCTTTGAAATTGAATAAAGATATGAAGAATTAATACGTATTGTGCCAAATATGACATACCATATTGATTTTAACATAATAGCATACTATCAGTGAATTCTATATGCTCGAATCTAATAGAGAATAATGAATCATATGTGATATTTAACTAGAAAACGGAAAAATCATAATTATACATGTTTGAGATGATAAATATTTCTAATGGAATGAGTTTCAAAAAAGACAAAATAGAATTTACAAAATCAAAATTATCGTCATAAATTAATGGAGGAAGAAATTTTATTACAGTATATAGTATTTTGTAGTGTTTTAGTGGTAATAATAGCACTGTTAGTTTACTCAGTTATTAAATCTCGAATGAGACCTTCACCAGATAAATTCATTAAAAATCATCTTCAATTATTCAATGAAAAGAACGATATTTCAGCCGAAGTTAAAGAAGACAAGAAGGATGATATTATACAAGAAGATAAACATGAATTGGCCGATGATAATCCTAAATCTAGAAGACAACAAGGATTTTTCCAGCCAAGTTTCCTTCCACCATCATTACTTCCATACGATACAGACAAAGAACAGATCTCGGCTCTTCCAATTCAGAACTTCTTACTATATCTGATGTACCAGAAACTCAGAGTAATAAACAGCCAGCTAATGAAAAGAAGGCTACCTATCATAAATACGATTCAATTAGAGATGAAGCTCGTAAATTGTTTATAGAAAGTACAGAAAAAGAAAGAAAAGAGAAAGAACAAAAAGAAGCAGAGAAACGTAAGAAGGAAGAAGAGGAGAAGGAAGCTGCAGTGAAAAGGAAGAAAGAGAAGGAAGCTGAAAATGAAAAACAAACAGCACCTAAGGCTGGATTAAGTTTATCAATGACAAAGTCTCCATCAAAAGATAAAGCTGCAGAAGCAGGTAAAACTCCATCTAACGGCACGACTCTATCAACGAAGCCATCTCTTAGTACTACCCTCAAATAACCATATAATTTGGATATAATAAAAGTTATATTAGAGTGTTTTAATAATTTGTTCAACTGATTTTTTACTAATGACCAAATTTGATATAAATTTTTACTGAATTTGCAAATATTTGGATAGATTTATCATGAAAATCTCACTCAAATCGATAGTATATACAATATATCTTCTTTCCTGCTTAATTTAGTTTGGGCGAGATTTTGCACGTTTAGAGAAAGAAAATGTCGAAAATCGAAGTTCCTCATTCAAGGGAAGGAGGAACTTACGATGAGTATCAAAAATCTCTAACAGATAGGTATCTTAAATGTATTTCATCTCTTGAACAAAGTGCGCAATCCCTTGCAAACGAATGTAAGAGTCAAATTTCAAAATCTATTCAGGAATATCAAGCTTACAAAGCAGGAGAAGAATCAAAACTAAAAGATATACTTGATTCAATGAAAACTACATCGGTTTCTTTTGAAGATTTGAAAGAGCAAGTTATTCAAATCGGAGAAAATGTTTTAAACCATGCAAATGAATTAAAATCATCATCAATGATTGCATATCAAAAGTCATTTGATCAATTACAACCAATGATCGACAAAATTTACGCTGATTTGAAAGATCAGCTTCCAATTCTCGATCCACAATACTCTGATAGACTTCCAACGGCAATTAAATCTCTTAATGAGATGTTTTACAAAAATAAAACTCAAATGGAAAAAATGTTTGATTCTTTTATAGAATCAGCAAAGAAATCCTCACAAGATAATGTAGATGAGTTTCTTAAGAGAAGTGATGATTGGAGAACAAATAGATTTGAAACTGTTTTTAATGATGCAAAGAATAAGTTGGATCCTTTAAAACAATTAGAATACGGAACAATCTTCGAAGATTTCTACAGAGAACAAGCGAAATTTACACTTTGCTTCCAAAAAATCATTCAAAATTATACAATTATTATGCCACCAGATAAATTCACTTCAAAAGACGTCGAACAATGGTGGGATAAGGCTGAAGAGATGCTACAATTCCATAATAATTTTATAAATATGTTTACAACCAAAATTACTGATCATTTAAACGCGAATATTCTTACAAATTCAAATCTCTTGCAAGATGTCGAACAAGAACTCCAACAATTGAAAGGAGATGCAGAGGCTGCTAATGCCATTGCAGAATTAACACCTCTCCACAAACATTCTCAAAAATTAAATTCAATTTTCATTGAAAAATTGACAAAATTCTGGGATGGTAAAAGAACAGTCTTACGTAAAGTATTTGAGACTCTTCACAGCTTCATATTGCCAATTGTTCAAAGATATGAAAAATATATCAATGAAACAAAGAATTGCTTTGATGAAGTGAGTAAAAATGTTACAACAGTAACTAATAAGTCAAATGATGAGATAACAAAGTATGAAACTCAATTTTCAGAGAAAGAAGCTGAAATTTCGTTATTAGCTAATGAAAAAGACATAAACAATACAGTTACTGTATGCAAAGGTATATTAGATCAGATAGAAAAGGAATACAGATCATCATATGATCAAATTGTTGAAATTTATGACCAACAACCCGAAAAAGTCAAAAAACTCTTTGAAGAAGGCGAAACAGAGCTCCTTACCATATTGAAACTCCGTAAGACAGTCAATGCCCCTGAATTCGACAGCTTTGTGAAAGCTACAAATTCTCATTCGAGAATTAATTCAGCAAGAAAGTCATCGGCTATCCTTAGACGTCCCAAACTCAAAGACTTGAAATTAAATATATTCATTTTCGGAGCAAACAACGGAGCCAAATTCGAAGAAATCGAGCCAATTACTGTAATTCCAGAATTCGACGAAAATTCCGACGAACAGAACAACCAAGGAAATCAGAAGGGCAAAGGCAAAGGAAAACCTCCAATTCCTAAGCCGAAAAAGCCACTTCCGAAAACTCCAAATAGTAAGAACAAAGGTAAGAAAGGAGCTCAAGATAACGAAGATTACGATATGCCAGAATTCAACCTCGTAACAAGTATTCCTAAAATTGATGATCATCTTGCTATTGAAATTTATACTCCTCAAAACAACGAAATTTCCTCATGGGTTAATGAATTCAGGAAATCAGTCATATGTTCTATAAATGACCAATTTTCAGATGTTGTTTACAAAGTTCAATTCAAATTAGAACGCAACAAGTGGGCAAAACAGCTTAATGAGCGTATGAGGACTCATGCACCTCGTTTGAGTCAGTTAGAATTGAACACAGCCAAAACAAGAGTTCTCCAGATTGAATCTCGAAAAATGTTATTAGAAAAACATTTCCATCATTCGGCAGCGAGCTTCAATAAGACTCTCCAAGTCATTGAGCCAAGTATTGAACAGTACAAACAGTCAATGTTCTCTAAAATCGAAGAACTTCGCCCATTAATTAACAAAATTTCCGAAATTCATTCAGTTCAGCACTTTGTTGAGCTTGAACAAGAATTTAAGATTATGGAAAACCATTTTCTTAGTGAATACGAAGAAGAGAAGAATAAAGAAAAAGAATTAGTTCGAAGTTTAGAGTCATCATTTAAACAATTAAATGATCGATTCATCGAAACTGTTTTAGCACAAGATTCATATTCCAATGATGAACGGACGAACGCAATGGCCTATTTCGATAAGATGAACAACCAAGTCTCTAATATTTATAACGCATTGAATGAGAAGATCAACAATGCGTCAACAGAAATCGAGCACAAATATCAACAATTAACAGAAGAATTCCAACAATTAGTTCCTAAACATACAGTTGATGTTACATTCATTGAATCATTGAATGCACAACAACATGTTGCCAAATCCAAATACGACACATTGTGTTTCCGGAACAGACAACAAGAACAAGAAATCGATTCATTGATTTCCCAATTAAGTGAAGCATTGCAATCTGAAGAAAATCCACAACAAAAGATATTAAGCGAATTTGAATCTATCGAACGCTTACGTATTGCATTAGTCAAACGCGGCAAGCACCTGATGATCATGAAAAGCGATATTTCACATGATCCTATTGGTTACAACATTGACTTAGAAACACAAGTTGTTAGTAGTGATCATGATAAAGAACAAAACGATAAAGACAAGAAAAACAAAAGAAATCAGAAGAAACCTAGCACATCTAAACCAAAGATTTCATCTAAGAAAGCACCGGAACAAGATTCTCTTGGCACAATGCAAGGCCAGATTGATCAGATCACATCATCGTTGACTCAAACATCAACAAAAACTATCACTGACTACTTTTCACAACTTAAGACAAATAAGTCGAACATTTGCCGAGTCAACGAGATCAAACCAAACCAAAATGAGTGCATTGATAATGTAAAACAAGTCTGGAATAAACAGATTGAGAACAAAGAACAAATCTTTTCCAGTTCCGGTTTGAAATACAGAACACAAGTTTCACAATCTCTTCCATTATTACGAGAAGCCACAGTTTTAATATATGATTGTGTTGTTAAGTATTATGCGGATAAAATCGAATTATTGACTGTTGACAACAAAGACGAATTCAACAATAAAATGAAAGAATTAAGAACACAACGCGATCAAAACGTCAAAGCATTGAGTCCTAAATTATCCGATTCAAACAACATTTCCGAATTAAAGAAATTGTATAATTCAGAAGAAGAACGACGTAAGAATGAATTAACCGTTATCCAAAACTACGAGAACTCTATTATCGAAACAGAGAAGAACGTAATGAACATGTTCACATCACATTTACCATTAATCACATCTTCATTGATGTCATTGTTTGATAAATTCCCATTATTAGAAGATTTGATTCCAGGTCCAGTTGCCAATGAAGAACGCAGGACATTGAAATCATTGATTAAAGACAAAGAAAGGAAGTCCATGCAATTACCAGATGACCAAGACAGACCATTCCATGTCCGGCAATGGCCAACATTACCTTTAACAATGGAACCATTGTCTTCTATGACCAGTCAAACAGAAAGTCAAGATCAACAAACGAAAGAGAAGAATTCAGGAAGGAAAACAGTTAAGAAACCAAAGAAATCAGATGCAATCAAGTCTGTTGAATCCGCAATGATGCCTATTATTACATCTATTGACACATCTATGCATCGCGGCGTTATTGTTGAAAGGAATCGCTCATTTGAGGAATATCAACGTGAAATGAAGTCACGTGTTACATCATTTGAAACATATATCAATTTCATGAAAGAAGAAACACAGAAATTCTCAGAATTCTGGTTAAAGTCTATCAACAACTTATGTCCACGCTTCGTCATCCCAAAAGAATCTAAATAAATAAAGTTATTTTGTTTTTTATTTTATTAATTATCTCATAAATAATGAATTTTATGTTTTAGAAGTATAAAAAAAGTAAGATGATAATGTAATAAATCATTGATTAAAGAACAATATTTCAAGTGTTGTTGATATTACAATCAAGAGGTATATTACATATATTCATGAATATTTAGATTCGAATGACATTGACTTCCATCTTCCAAGTTTTGTTGATGTTACAATCAAGAACTCTATACAACAACAACTAATAGTTATGTTAAATATAATCAAATTATGAGATTGTGAAGTGCGAGACTTTTCACCAGACAAAAAATAAATAAATAATCAATATTATCATATTCCATGCTAATTTTTGAGTAGGATTTAATTACATTCATTTATCCATATGGAAATGTAATAAATTCTGTCATCATTGAATTTTTTACAGAACACAGAATACGGATATTTTAGAAAGTTTCTATATAAATAAAAGTAATTTTATTCAAGATAAATAATTAATATCAAATATTTAATAATCGACGACGTGGGAATCGGTGAGAGAAATATTCAATGTATTTGGTTTTTTTGATAATTGCAAATTCTGTTTGGTAATTAGTCAAATTGTTAGTAAATAGTCCTCTTGTATTAGTAGGTACTATACTACTATAAAATGTATTTGAAATCGAATTGTCAATGTAACAACTATCAACTGTTAATTGATCATTACCATCGTTAAATATCAAACATGAACCTTGAGGAGCAGTGTTGTTAATAAAAGAACAACTTTTTACAGTAAGAGAATTACCCCAATGGTAAATAATACTTCCACTTCCTGATGCTGCTATGGTATTATTTATAATATTACATGAATCAATCAAAGAGTTATTCCAAATACTTATTATTTGACATGCAGCTAAATTATTAACAACAGTTGTATAGTTATATTTTGTTGTGTAATTAACATTAGGACTTTTTAAATAACCAGCAGGTCCCCAAGATGCTTTGCATGATGAGAAATTTGTTGATGAAACTATGATGTTATCACGTTCTGCTTCAATAGAACAACCAAAACCTTCTTTTCCTACATCGAAAAGGGAACTTTCAATAAAAAAGTTTAAGTTATCTTTGTCAACATATGTATATGAAAAATGTGCTCCAGATTGACTTTGACTTTGGCATTTTGTACAACAGAACTTTCGTTGAACAATAGAACTATTACTACCAATTTGGTAGTAAATGCAACTTCCGCTCTCTGTTGAAGTGCAGTTACTAAAAGAACACCGATTATGTAGAAACAAAGTGTTTTCAATTGGGTTAAAATTTACAACTCGGTCTTTATCATTAAAAAAATTGCACTCATCTAAGTAATATTGACCTTTATCTGCTGGTAGATTACAGTTTTGACAATGCTTAGTTTCTACTTCTGTAAATTGACTTTTGAAGTAACTATTCCAAATATTGTCATCCGCTAAAGATAGAATTATGGTGAACATTTTATTAATTTGTCAAAAAATGCCATCCTATCGTTTTTTTAGAATTTGAAAAAAAATGCACTCAACTTATTTTTGTCAAAACTAGAGCAAAAATGCCCTAATGCATATGTCCTCCATGTTCTTTCTTGCTGGTGGCGTTAGCGATTATCAGAACAATCTTCTGTTTGCCTGAGAAGAAACGAATTCACCAATTTGTTGAATAAAGTCGAGAATTACATTTTTTGATATAACTTGAACAAAATCTAGCATTTTACTAGTTCACATATGGTTTTTGATCTTTGATCTTTTGAATGTCAGAAATCAAATTTTGCCTGAATATTTATGGTCATATTCTGACACAATGGAATTCGGTCGTGGTATTTTGCCAACAACAAGCAATCGAAAGTATCTATGAATCGTTTCTATTGAAAGAAATAATTATATACCATAATTAATTTTTCTCAACTGGTCAGAGAACGAGAAAAATGCTTAGATCTGAAGAGGATCGATATCATGTGGTGTTGTCAAGCAGTTCGAAATATCCAAAAACAAAATATTAAATGAATAGATTTTGAGATGCTTATATATATATAGTCGGGAGAAAAAGGTATAAACGGGGCAAAAAGGTGTAAACCTTGATATTTAGAAGCCAATATTAATATAAATAGTATCCTTACATTGAGTATATTTGGGCAGTGCATTCAAAACAAAAACCTAAAAATATGTAAATTTAGATATTTTAATTTTTTAAAAAAACTTAATAAGACTCAAAAAATCATTGCTAGTAAATTAAAATAGTATATAAGCAATATCTTTATTCATTTTTGCCAATGAAACTTACAATTCTTTGAATAATTTGCAAGAATTTTATTCTTGTTGGCTTTCATTAAGGCCATGTGTAAAAATATTGTGATTTTTACTGGATCCTTTGGACTGTAATCTGTCTAAATTGACTTCAGCGGGCATAAACCAAATAAATTTCATTATTGGCGTTTTTCTTCGATAAATATTAAGGAGAATGATCTAAATCATATGTGGAACCGTAACATTAAGTGATCATGTGTTGATCCATCAAGGAAATCAGTAGTTGGAGTTGGATAATCCATAATGAAAAATTATAAACGTTCATTTTTTATTAAGTTTTATTTCTTTCATATTTCGATTATTTTAAGGATGTCAATTCGGAAAATTGTTTTCATTTTAGGAGAATATAATTTTCCTTTTCGAAAATTTAAAAAGTGAGACGCGCAGGATTCGAACTTTTTTAAAAGTTGATTTAAATATATTCTAGTGTGTATTCTAAGGATAATATCATATTTAAAATAAGAATATACTAGTTTAGGTGGTATAATTTTTTCGATAAATTTGAGAGCATGTACGTTTAGGGCATCAAAAGTGTCAATTCGCTCAGCGAAAGCCGAGCTAGCTTCGTTCTCGAAAGAATAGGGAAGGAGTGAAAGAGAGTGATACAGATGTTGACACATTCATATCATTTCAACAAATTTTGATCAAATTGAAATGCAATGAAATTCAATTCACTTCATATCCTTCAGTCAGTACATTGACATCCTTCTACATCACAATGATAACTCGTGCATCAATAGTTCTACAACTAACTCAGAAAAAAACAAGATTTTTCCTTCCAGCTTACAGCTTTTAAAAAGTTTCGATGATAAAAATCACTCTACTCTTGTTTATCGATATGTTGTGATAGTAGGTAAACGTATTCTTATCGATATTAATAAAAATATTTTTACGAAAATCTGAACCAATTACAGAGTTATTCATAAAGTTTATGATAACTGTAATTACTTCATCTTTGTTTAATATTTGAATAAACAATTTAATTTAATTTGCATAATTTTTTTTAGTTGAAAGACAGGAAACTTAGTTGAGTTTGTATTATTTTTATCGTTCAATTCATTGTATCAGTGAGTGATCCAGATATTTAAGATATTTACAAAAAATTTATTAATTTGATTAACAAATTTTAATCAAAATAGCAAAAATCTATTTGATAGCTGTAAGCAAACAATAATTTTTATTTCAAGCAAAATCAATTATTTTCATCTAAACGTATAAAATTGTCAATTTTATGAGAATAAATTTAAAATCTCATGAAATATAAAGGAGAGTAATATTTTTCAATTTTCTTTTTTTCTTTGTCTCAAATATTTTCTGTTGGGAATTTTCTTGTTATCAAAAAATAATTTTAATATTTGTTTATTTCATTACATACAATAAAATTTTAAAAACTCTATTTGTTCACAAGAAAATTTTTTCCCTTCATATGAAGAAACATTTTGTTCTCCATTTGATGCTGAGTCTAAATCTCGACTTTTGAATTTTCTTCTTTCCAAATTTCTTTTTTCCAAATTAGAAGTTTAATTCAAATTTTCAATAGTTTATATATTTTCTCAAACCGTCTTAGATTTTCTCACTTTTTAGGGATTTTCTCTCAAAATATACAAAAATAGTAATATCAATACATGTGTCTAATATACTTTAAAACCATCGTGATAAAATTCAAAAACGAAGAGTTCTTCTCTCCAAATTTTTTTCAAAATCAAAAAAATGAGATAAAAAAGCATGTTTGGAAAATTCATTTTTACCATTTTAGGAATTTTCTTCCAAATTGACATCCTTAGTTTATAATATCAGTTTGTTATAAGTAATAGGTATTGATTTTTCAATTTATAAACTAATATAATTTTGTGGCCTTTTTTACATTTTTTGTTATATTGAGAGGCTCTAAATATAAAATCGATTAAATATAATAGTGGAAATTATTATTTGTCGTAGATACTTTTTTAAATACTGAAATTGCATTCATGCATTTATCAAAGTTATTTTTCTCAAACGACTAAAAATTAAAGAGAAATATTATAATTTTAATGCTTCTTGTCGCTAGGATTGTTAGATAAGGCCATGAACCAGATATGGTTTTGCAAATAACGGAATTTGAAAAAGAAAACATTTATAAAAATCAATTATATTATGTCAGATGTATTGCTTATGATATTGAAGTAGCATATCATAGTTCATAAGAGCAATTATGTCATATTCATGTAATGAAAAATGGTAATGTTATTCAAATTTAAGATATTTTAATAGTGATTCAACATTATACTGAAAGCGTGAAATATGTGCCATAAATTGATAAAATCTAATTTGAAATATTAAGTGCATTCCAGAACAAAGCTTCACCATTCCATGAACTTAAAAAGACCAATTAGTACAAATGTTAAATATATTTATTACTTCATATCATAATGAAATTATAAAATCAGAATAATTAGCAAAATTTTTGGTAATTCTATTACAATTCATCTTTTATACTATTTATATTAATAATCCATATAAGTTTGATCAAAAAAACGAAAAATAAATTTAATCATATATTTTTATTTGTTTCATTAAAATAAACACTTTATACTTTTTGTTACAACACAAACTCTTCTTGTGTGAATTCATTACCGTTCTCAACATCAAGAGTGAAAACTTTGGGGCGGCGACAAATTTGCCCAGCCAGTAAAGTATTCAATTGTTTTTTTTTGCATTTTTTTTAAAGCTTCTTAACTTAAATCATGGAATGTCTCAAAGACAAAAGTAGCATACAGCATGTAAAGCTAAAGAAAGATAATCATAATTAATACCTTAATTTTTAATATTACGCATTTTTAGGTGCAAAATTTAAAAACATTCTAATACAATAGAGCAGTTTCCAAAAGTAGCATACAGCATGCAAAGCTAAAGAAAGATAATCATAATTAATACCTTTAAAGTTTAAAATCTTGATTTTTTTTAAAATCAAATATTTATAACTTTAATACATACAGCTTCAACCTTATACTTGTTATAGATAATGAACATATTTTTATAGATATTTTATATGTAGCCAATCATGTATTTTTATGTGCTTAATTGTATTTCGTAGTTCTTTATTTTTTGATTGAAATTTTTAGATAAATTCTTGGAAAACAAATAAAAGTGACAAAGATTTTGACCCAAAAATATGGGGATTTTTTCTTCATCGCCAAAATATAAAAAGTTAGATGTTCCTCGATCAAAATATGTTTTTGATTTAGACGAGGAAATAATAATTCTTCTTTATCGTTATATTGGTACTCAATATCATGGTTTGCAGCAAAATATAGATACACATACAGTTGAGAAAGAATTATTCCAAGCCCTCATAAGTGCAGGATTTTTGTCTGACCAAGCTAATTGTAACCTTAACAGAATTAAGTGGAGCGAAGCATCCAGAACCGATGCAGGTGTTCATGCATGTGCGCAAGTATTATCTTTTAAAGCATCAGGTCTCAAAGGCATTTGTATTGCTGATATTCCTGATTTAATCAACAAACAACTTCCAAGAACCAGTGACATCGAAATTATTACGTGTATTACCCTTCGAAGACAATTTTACGCTCAAAAATTTGCTGAATCAAGAAATTATAACTTTTTATTACCTACAAATGCTTTTTCATCCAATTCAATAGAACATTTAAATTATTTAAGAACTTCTATCCTCCCACTATTCATTGGTTGGCTAAATTATCACAATTTTACATCGAACAAATCAGCTTCTAACCCTTCATCTATGAGAAAAATTGATGTTTTTACTTTTACCGATCCATTTGAAGTAGAAGGAGTTGAATTTGTATTATTTACAATCCATGGTGAGAGTTTTATGCTTAATCAAATCCGAAAAATGATTGCAACAGTAATTTCTGCATCGCATAATTATATTGGAGCTGAAGAAGTAAAAAGGTGCCTTTCTGAAGAAGGTTGGAGTATTAAAATGTGTCCTGGTGATGGTTTAATGCTTGATCATGTAGATTACATAAAATGCAACAAACCATCAAAGAAAAACCCTATAACTTTCGAGAATGATCTGCAATTTACTGAATTCCAACCTGAAATTCAAAGATGGAAGAAAGAAGTTCTGTTTCCCCATATTGCAGAAATAATTAAAAAGAAAGATTTATATCATAAATGGGTTATTGAGTATTTGCCAAAGTATCCATGGAAACCAATTGCAGAACAATAAATCATAATAATAAACGCATAATATTAGTTAGAGATTTAATTCAATTAAAAACTACTTGTTTGTTGATATTTTACATCAAAAAGTGTTCAGAATAACTTTAATCTAATTAAATAGTCTCTGAACGCGAAATCAAATTTAGATATTTTGATGATTATTTCAGTATTAGATTCATTGTATTAAAATTCTTTTAAAATTAAGAAAGTTGTGATTTCAATTGATATTTGATGTAAATTTTAAAATTTAATTCTCAAAAAAACTACAAGTGCATTACTATTCTCATTTTAATTGATTGCTAAGTAAATATAAGATGAAACACTGAATTCAATTATGGATATAAAAATCGATATGAAAAAATAAGAAATTTTGGCTTTTAACCTAAAAATATTTGAGTGTCAGTATTTTAATCATCGTTGATATGATTTTCGTGATCAAGGAGATATGGTTGAATGAATTTCATGAGAAGATGGATAATAAAAGTGTGATGAAGCTGTTGAAATAGTTACACCATTTTTATCAACTTGTTTTTGGGTTGGTCTTGGTCTCCTATACCAAAATGGACGAAGTACGCAGCCGCCTTCCATAATGTTTTTTTCTTCCTCATACTCATAGTCATTACTGTCGTATGTGAAGCCAATTTTGCCAAGGCCATATGGCAAACGGTAATAGATGCCATCATGAAGGTTTTCATTGTATTCATAGTTGAAATCGTAATCATAGTAGTTCATGTCGTAGGCGAAGCCAGCTTTAGCTAAATCGTATGGTGAACGGTAAAAGATACCGCCGTAGAAGTTTTCTTCGTCATCATTTCTGTAATCGTAGACATAGTAGTTCTTGTCGTATGAGAAGCCGGCTTTATCTAAGTCATATGGTAAGTAGTAATAGATACCGTTGTATGAGTTCTCATCATCATCATAATTGTATTCATATTCATTATATTCTTGATAACTGCTGTAAAATGGAACTGATGCCTTATTCTATATTGCTTTCTCGTTATAATCATCCAGATCCCAATAGGGTGGGAATACTCTTTTATAGAATGGTAAAAACAAAAACATTATCAGATTTGATAAAAATTCAAAATTTTCAACAATTTTTTCGATAATGTTAGTACAACAAGATTTTATTTATTTAATATGCAATCTGACAAAATAATTGTCAAGCTGACACTATTATCGTTATTTATCAGAAATAATTCTTTCTATGTCAGACACAAAATTATTCCTATCTGAGAGCAAAATAACTCATTTGTAGCTTTAGTTTTTCTATTTAACGTTCGAATATGAAAAAAAATACAAATGAAAAACATTAAATGAAATACAATTGCATATTTAAGGGATATGTTTGATAGAAATAATAATAAAGATGATAAAAACAAACAAATAAAAATTTTATTAAAAATTATTTTCAACAAAGTGAATAATATCAGTGATCCTTTCTGCATTCTCTCCAAAAGCATCATTAATCATTAATGATTCATTCTGGATGTTAAATTCTCGATCATCAAGTGGGTCGATTTGAAAATCAAATTTGGGAGCTTTTCTTTTCTCGTTTGCAAACTGGAAATGTATTGGTTCTTCGTGAACAACTGTTTGGTCTTGTAATAGTTCTGGTTTTTTATCAATTACAAAAGATTTTTCAAAATTTTTCTGGGAAAAGTTGAAAGGAATGTTCAATCGCTTGGCCAAGCCTTCAGAAAGTTCTAACAATACAAATGTATACGATAACTCTGTGATTTCTGGGGTATTTATCGATAAAACTTTTGATGATAAGTTAAATGACAAAGAAGTCCTCAGATTGGGGTTATCTTTGTACTTAGAGCATTCCTGTTTAATACTTTCCCTGACAAATGTGTCTCTTATATATGAAAAATCAAAATCTTGGTTCAATATGTCAAATTTTGGTAATTTTGAGACAAAATCATAAACAGAGCCTGTGATATAATCTGTAAAAACAGATTTCTCAAGTCGATTCACTTTTGACGATAAAAATTCATATTTATTATTTGAATTTTCGTTCAAAAGAGAAACTACTGCTTTGATTGCAGTGATAATGATCTGTATGTCTGCATTGACACCTATGATCTTTGAAATCATTGTCTTTATGTTGATTTTCATCAGATTAATTTTTGAATTTTCAAAAATTTCAGAAAAAGAATATAATTGTGATGAAATAAACAACATAGTATCAATCGGATCATTATTAACAATTGAATTAATGAAATTAGAGTAAAATTCAACGTATTTTTGAATATTTTGAATTTGATTTTCAAGAAAAGATGTTTCTGGAAGTCTCTGGAGTTCAACAAAGCTTTTCATCTCATTATATATATCTATTAATGAATCATCTTTGTTTTTATTTATAGTTTTCAGTAAATTTGATAATTTTGAAATTTCTTCTTCATTTAAATCAGAAATTATCTCTGAAACACTTGCTACAAGATATTCTAAAGATTCGGAACTGTTTGAAATAGAATTTAAAAGATTTGAAATTCGATGATTCTGATTTACATCAAAACTACTTGAAATAAGAACAGAGAGCCATGGTTTGGATATTTCTTGGTATTGTTTGGGCGTTGTCAGTTTATCTAAAGCTCTTAAACATGAAATTTCCATAATAAATGAAAATAATTTCGAAAACCAGCCAAAATTAGAGGAATCAATCGAAATAAATGATAGATCTTTGAATATATCGGTAGAAATACCATGAAATGCCATGTTAATGAGAATTTTTATGGAATTTTTGTCAAGATTTTTTGGAATTTCATCAAAAATATATGAAAAAGCTACATTTTGAAGGGTGTTTTTGATTGTTTCTGACAAATCTATTATTATATTTGGTAAATCATCAGGAATTTCGAAGATATTAATTTGAGAAAAATAATTTGAAAATTTTTGTAGCTCTAATTTGTCATTTAACATGTTAACTAAAGAAAAAATTGAAGATAAAATGTAAATGGTAGATGAATCAATTAATCCGGAAATTCCTAAGTTAGAAATGGAATTAAAGGCCAATTCCACAAGACTTAACTTATCATTGATCGAAACAGTAAGTTTAGATAGTTCTTGGTCGGTCAATGATGATGTATAAAGAAATGATAAAAATTCATAAATATTTTGAAAGTCTTTTGGTAATTCTATGATTCTGGATAGTATTTTATTGACATTATTATTGAATGGTAACTGAATTATCTTTGGAAATATGTCAGAAACAATAGATCCGATATTAAACAAACTTATTTCAGGAATTCTTTCGTTAAATCGAATTATTTCTGCTGAATGAAGTATGCTAAGATAAGTTTTGTATTTCATCAAATTAAATTTCAATGATAAAGTGTAATTTGGAACAAAAATTGAAAAATTATGAAAGAATGATGACTTTTTGATATTAAATGGTGCTTTTTGCTGATCTATTGAGTTAACAAAGAAAATAAAAGAGTTTTTGAGCGATTTCATCTCTCGAATTTCATCATTTAATTCTTCTATTTGATTTTTTTGTAATTCTGCAACGATTTCGATTAAAATAGGAATTAACAGAGTCTGAGCTTCGTGGAATGTTCGGATTTTTTGATAATTGATGAAAAATGAATTTATTAAACTGAATAAATCTGTATAATCGCAAATCAAGTCTGGAAAGCGAAATAGTGTCATGCAAATTTTGGATTGTAGTGTGATTATCTTATGAATGAGTTGATTTTTTGCAGTTTGAATTATTTTATAGTGTTCTTCAATTGAATCATTCATGAAATGTGTTGGAGTATCCATATAGTTTTCGAAATTTTTCATTATTCTTTTCTCTAACTTATATTCTATATTTGATTGATCCATTTCCTCAACATAATATATATAAAAATGAAATCTAAAATGATAATAATGATTATTTATATCAGAATGTTCACATTAATGAACTTTGATTTTCTTTACAAGATATTTTTTTGCGATTTTGACTTATTTGTATTTAGTCTTTTAATCATATGTTCTAAGTAGTATTATAGCCATTTTTACTATTACTAAGAATACAGCTTTTAAAACTTATATTTGGGGATAGATTATTTGAATTCACTGGATTTCGGTAGATTTAACGTCCCGTTATATGAATTATAAGATTCTATACTAAAATAAGGCTTGTTTACTATAATTATATCATATACTTTCGTGCGTATTACGAGTCGGAATATTTTTTTTTTCTAATCACTCGGGATAGAATTTAATACTATTCTTTGATTTGATAATTTATGATATGGTATTGTGTAAATGTTATATTTTAGTTGGCGATTGCAAGATATTTCCTTATTTTGCATGTCAGAGAGGATTGGACTGAGAAATTACACTTGATGCTATAAGATTTTATATATTAAAAAAAAAAAAAAAAGGGTAGTGGGGCTTCCAGGGCTGCGCCCCTCTAGCCCCCTGAAGATGTTTAGTATAACATGCAGTTTATATAAAATGAGGTTTTTTTGGGTATAGCGGGCCTTCCAGGCACTTCGTGCCTTCTAGCCCCTAAAATTTTTGAAAGTCGTTGCTGTTGACTTTTCGGTAAAAAAATAGTATAACTATGTCCGGACAGGTAAGAGTCTATCGTCGCTAAAGGAAAGTTACGGGCGTTCCAAAGAAATATACTTTGAGAAGCCTTTTCTGTCACTTTTCAGGTAAAAACATTTTTATTATATATATATAAAATGAATTTTACAAAACCACCGTTACCCTTCTTTGGAAATAAGAGTAGATGTAAAGATATTCTATTGAGAGAACTTAAGAAACTACCGAATGGTCTAACATTTGTAGATTTGTTCGGTGGAAGTTTCTATATATCCCATCTGTGCCATACCGTATTCCCAGACTCAAAGATTATATGCAATGACTTCGACAACTATATGAACCGTCTCAAACATATACCAGACACAAACAAAATATTGAGTGAGTTAAAAGAAAAGATACCTATAGGTAAGATGGAACGTATACCATTAGATAAGAAAAATACTGTCAGAGAGGTTTTGAAAAAGGCAGAGTATATTGACTGGGATAGTATATCTTCTAGACTTTTATATAGTGGTTCTATAAGAGTTCATGACATTGAAACACTTATGTCAAACGTTTTATATCTTAACTATACAAAGGTTTTCAAAGAGAACATAGAAAAATATACTGAGGGTATAGAGTTTGTGAGATGTCATTGGACAGAGTTGTATGAAAAATACAAAGACAAGGAAAATGTTTTCTTTATAGTAGACCCGCCGTTCTATAACACATATGATTTTCAATACCAAGTAGACTGGACTTTGAGAGACTCTTTAGAAACTTTAGACGTTGTACATAACCATCCATGTTTTTACTTTACATCCGATAAAAGTGGTTTGGAAACCGTTATGAGATGGTTAGAGGATATACATGACTATGGGTTTAGATACGATAAGATAGAATATGAGAGAGGTCCTATAAACCGGAGAAAGTGTCACAACAAAGAAATTTTATTGGTAAGTAAATGTGGTTTGAAATAGGACTACTTGTTTTAGGTTTTTTCCATTGTGTCATTTACTTATTTGACGCGGCAGAAAAGTACAGAGAATATGAAGATGAACCAATGCCAGCAAATGTTCAGCATATGTACTCGTAAGAGATATTTTTATCTAATATTAAATGGACGCACAGAACTTAGCGAATGCACAGCAACCTGGACAACCAAACCCAGAGAATATTCCAAATGAAGTTAGAATACAAACTGCAATGGCAAACTATGGTCAAGTGCCAACAGATGTACAAATGCAAACTGCCATGTCAAATGACGCTGCGTTAGGTTTGCCACCATGGTATGCAAATATGAGATGGAAAGAGTTTTATACAAACCCTGAAGTGGGATATAAACAACTCTATGCAGATGACGCAAACACAGGAGTTGACCCAGAATATGTTTTCTACCAGAGGAGAAATAGAATGTATGAGCTCCAGTTAAAGAATGCTATGGAACTCAACAGGAAACGTAAGAGACTAGGCGGACATTAGATTTTTACATATAGTAAAATGGGTTTCTTTGGAAGAATAGGAAACTTCTTTCGAAATGTTGGAAAGAGGTATATGGAATGGAATAAAATCTGTCGGAAGAGGAATTTGGAACGGAGTCAAAAATATTGGTAAAAGAGTAGGTCAGTTCGTTGGTATTATACCTAAAGACCCTGAACCAGAAGAACAAGCTCCTGTTATACAACAGCCTGAACCTGCACCACAGTCTAGTTGGCAACCAAATCCAACACCTCAACCGTATTAAAAAATTATATTTTTACCGTTCGATAGTAGTTGTATATGAAACTAAGTTCTAAGTAAAACGCATGGTATAATGGAATTATTCTCTTTCTTCCATCTGTAGTAAACCATACTTGAAAGTCTGAAATACTTCCACTCGGCGGTTCATATAGCTTTGTAGGTTTTTCGTAAAAGTCATTTGCCAAGCATAAAAAAGAGTTTTGGGCGCCAGAAAATGAAGCATGAACGATAATAGCATCTGAGTCGAAAACATTTTCATATGTTCCATTAGGGTTTTCGACTTCATAAAAGTTCGGGTGTACTGGATATGCTGCAGGCTGATTTAACATCCTCAAAAATCTATACCATGCCAAGTTGTTATATTTTGTAGAAATATAAACGTTTTCTCCAAGGTCTTCTATTCTATTGATTTTAACAGTTGCATTTTTCCTGTCATATATAATATCGAGATGGTATTCTCCTTCGTCAATGTTGTACTGTTTTGCATATTCGAGATAGATATCGTTTATTTTTTCTTGAAAAGCTTGAAGAGTTGTTTCTAAGTTTACAAGCAAACTAACTTGTAAAAGTTTTCCCTGTTCAAATTTCTCATACGTACGTTTTTCTTTGTTATAGTATCGAACTTCAAAACCGACCGTAAATGGGAAACCATGTATGGCTTCTGAAATGAACTTCATTCTACGAAAGCCAACAGCTTTTGTGACGGATGGGTCTCTTAACCATCTCAATGGGTAGTCAAAACGATAGCCTTCATGCTTTACGGTCTCTGTCTCAAACTTTTGACCGACATTAGTAAAAAGTTCATCTAATGGTTTAGTTGTAGCAACTCTTGAATTTTCTTTTTCTATTGAAAGCATATTTTTATCTAGAATAAAAATGTCAAATGAAACAGCGTCTATGAGAGAAATACAACACAACCGACAACTCATTGTACAAGCTCTAAATAAGAACACAACAAACTTTTCAAACTATTCTAAGATATCTGAGTCATTGAAAGAAGGAAACTTAAAACTGACGATAAACCCAATGACAGATGAGTTTCTGTTTCAAGACAATAGGAACCATACTGTCTGTATAAATCCAACAAAAGGAACTTTAAACGAGAAACCTATAAAAGAACTTCTTTTGAAAGCAGATGTTGACAACAAAGCTGACAAAGAGTATGTCATTGAAAAAGTTCAAGAAGAACATGACAGAGCAGATGCAACATATGCAACAAAAGAACATACTCATCCTGAACTAGCAGACAAAACATATGTTGACAATAAAATGTCAAGTGAAGTGACAAGAGCTGAAAACGAATATTCTAAAAAGACTCATACACATACCATTGCAAATATTACAAACTTACAAGAAAC